GACAAAGAAAAGTTTTATATATTTACACCAGAACTTTTTGTTTAAGCTATGCAATGTTTTACTGGCGCAAGATTTAAAGGTTGAACTTAGCTTATATCAAAAATGTGTTATAAAATTTTAATAATACAGTATTGAAATTTGTTATCAAAATGATATAGGTGTTTCGAAGATAAGAGAAAGAAAGGTTTTGAATCTGATCGTGGCTTGGAAATAGTTGCTAAAATGATTTTAGCATTTTAAAGATAATAAGGAAGTATTCGAATAGTATAAGAAAGTATTCGAATAGTATAAGAAAGTATTCGAATAGTATAAGAAAGTATTCGAATAGTTTTTGAGGCAAAAATAACTGTTTCTGATCGGATGAAAAAACAAAGATTAACACATCGTTCTTGATAAGGCATTCTTTTTTTTTGAATTTTATGTTACGTAGGCAATAATGGGATTACCATATTTTTACATCATGGCTTTTATTTGATGGTAGTATAATTTTTAAAACTTTATCAGGAACGGTACATTAACCAATTATTAAAGCCTTTTCGTCTTGTAGAGTATTGATTATGATCAAGCTAAAAAAAAATATTAATTCAAAATAGTAAATGTCCGCCAATAGAAAATTTTACTAATATATTTCAGATTTGACTATGCTTTTTGATTTACATATTTAAATATTCTATAAACAAATAATTTGCTCTAATAATTATAAACATCACATGAAATGAATTACTTTTATGTATCACATACACACATAAATAGTATTTTAAAAATTGGTTTGTATTATTTTCACAAAAATTATATCACATACAAAATTTGATCGACCAAGTAATGGATTTTTACCATGCTACAAACGGGGAAATTCCATCCTTTTGATTCACAGGGCTATTCTTTTTGATTTATAAAAAAGGGCCACCTTTTTATTACTGGGTTAGAAGAGTTAAATCATATCAAAAATGTAGACCTTTTTTTATGATCAAAAAGGATGAGCTTGCACAAACAGGTCACCTGCAAAATATAACTGTATAATTTATTTTTTTTAAAATAAGCGTGATTTATGTCCATCGACACACTTTCGTTTGATTATGTAATTAATTGCCCGGGTAACTTATTTATACACTTTAAAGTACTTTTTAAGAACGTAACGTATCATTAACAAAAAATTGCCGTGAAAGCAATTTCTAGCTCTAAACGAACATAGATATTCACTTTTATAATTAATCCAAAATAGTCCACGCCTCCAAGAACTTCATTTAGAAGCGAAAATTCCTATTCTATACTGCTATATAGTACTAAATATATTAACTAGTAATAAAACGGCGGCGAAGTATTAGTTTTTAAAAAAAAAAACCTCGTCCTGTAGCTTATCTAATACATCAAAATACATAATATACTGTATATTATATAATGTAATTAATTAATATAATAACTAATTTTATAAATATATATTAATACGCAGCGAACAAACATAATAATTCATAAAGTAACAATGAAAGACAAAGAGTTAATTCATAGTCATAAAGAAAGTAATCTCTGTTCTTCAGCTAATCACTAACGTGTATTTTCCCCAATTTTTGTAACTTACTATAAGAAATGTATCATTGAAACGTCAAGAGCACGGAATCTTGATAAAGCAACAAATGTAAGACCTATAGCATATTCCTCGTCGCGTCGCCAATGTCTATTACGGTTTGTTATAATATTATGCCTTGCGATTTATGACTGTACCGCGAAACTTTTTTATTTTATAAGAAATGTAAAATTAAATAAATTCGGTATAATGTTTAAAAATATACTGTATGATCATTCGTCATTTTGGTCTGCATTTCTTTTTCATCAATAAAATTTTGCCGGACATCGCAAAATTTTTGAGCTTATAAGGTCTTTCACTCCGTTCCACTCCGCTCCAGCTAGAGATGAGCATGGTGCTTAATTGTTACATGATTAAAATTATGAAAATCACATCGGATGTTAATTTTTTACATACGTGACGATTAAGCACCATGCTACATAGTGCCCATCTCTAGCTCCAGCCCAATTATATGTGCTAGAAACGGTCAACGACAAAGAAGATTGTGACGTTACATTGTAAACTTTAAGCTTAAAGAACTTTGTGTATACTGTTTGATATGCTATTATAATAGTAATAGGCCTATACTAAAGCTTAAATTGTACGTATTCTGAATATTAAACTGTTAGATTTGTAAGCGTAATTTTGGGTTAAATAATAAGTTAATAATAGATATAAATTGTTCTATTAATTATACCCGGGTTGGTGAAAAGTAACTGTGACCTTTTTACTATCTCCGTTAATATTTTATATTGGTATAAGCGTTAAGTGAAATTTGCAGCGATTAAAAAAAGGTCACTGTCTAGTTACTTTTCACCAACTCGGTATAGACTAAAGGTTATATCACATCTTTAATAAAAGGTCATGTTTTATTAGTTGAAAAACTTTATGTTTTTCGCTTCTATGTAGTAGTATTAAATTATGTATTTTAATTGGTTAATTATCACGGGTAGATCCACAATTACGTATAGTAATAGTAATAGGGATACTGTATCGGTATTGATAATCGATATGTAATTTTAACATCTACCGGAAGATATTTATTTCAGCCTCTTGCTGAGGAAACTGTACTTTTGTTATTTATAGAAATATGATACACTTGGTCGAAAGCAGTAACTACTGATAGAGCTACCACTACCGAATGAAACCACTCTAGAACTACCACCACTTGCCGCCGTAGCTACAAAAAACGACTGCCGTAGCTACCACCACTAAGCAAGAAACAACCACTAAGCAAGAAACAACCACTAAGCAAGAAACAACCACTAAGCAAGAAACAACCACTAAGCAAGAAACAACCGCCGTAGCTACCACCACTGAACAAAAAGCTACTGCTTGAACTGCCACTACTGGCCGCCGTAACTACAACCACTGCATAAGAAACTAACTGCAATCGTAAGAATAACTTCATTTCCTACTTCATTTCCTGTTTGTTACGTCCTTAAAATCTTATTAATCTAATGTTCCTTTTTAAAAGTTTTCATGTTCATATTAAGGTAAATATCTATGTATGTTTTAACAATGGATATGTAATCACTGGACTTTATATAAAGGAATTGATTACTAATTCGATCTTTTCTCATTTTATTTCTTAATAACTATCGATAACGGGTTAACAAAAGTACGAGGAATGATTATTTTACGCAGGTGAAAGAAGACCAGGATAAACTGGTTAAAGACCTAATATGAAT